TGTATCCCTCCAAATGGACTTGGAGCCATGACATCCACCTGATGGAGAAACCATCCCTCCTGAAGTGATGTCCTTCAAGGGGTCAGGAAAATCATCAGAAAACCTGTAGAGAGACTTCCACAGGAGTATCCCAGTGGGAGCTTTGTTTGTTTGTAGTGGCTCTTGATTAAATAAAAATTTCAGGATGGGTCTTCAAAAACTTAGGAAATCATCTCTGAATGGAAAACTAATGTTTGCCTTTGTTTTTCCTTTCCAGACTCACTGAACCTTCGGGGTACGTCACGGATGGGCCTGGGAATTACAAATACAAGACAAAATGCACCTGGCTCATTGAAGGAAGGTGAGTGTTGGGAACAGCCTGGGGTTTCCTCTTGGTTATGGTGGCTTTTAGGTGAGGTTTATCTGCGTTAAATATTTTTATATCTCGTGATTTTTTCTGGCTGTTCCTAAAACTGAATAGGGCAGCGCTCAGTAAATAAGTTTTTAGGGTGTTTTTGTGCAACTGAGCCCTCCAAACTAACTTGGAATTGAGAGGTTTGTGTTGAAACAGCACGTGGTAAACAAAAATCAGTGTGTTTGTATAAGTAGTGAAGGATTGGGAATTATTGAACTGATATCAGAGGGCAACATTCAGTGTTGGGACTTACCACACACAGGATTTTTTGGCAGTATGAACAAAAAGAGGAAACTCTCTGAAAGCCCCTGTTTATGAAAAATCAGTTTTTGGAGTGATCCTTTAAATCCTTCTTTACTCACTGGGCCATGAGGACTTCACAAGGACCACTGACCTTTTTTACAAAGGTTTTCTAAACTGGGATAAATCCCTCAGACCTCACTTCCCACCCTTCCTGGATTTGATCCTTGTTTTGCAGAGATTTTTAGGAGCAGCACATTTGGTGCACATCCTCTGTCACCCCATGGATAGTGCAGCAGTTGGGAGCATCTAAACTTGTTGAAATACAATTTTCATAGAACCAAGCTGATGCCAGGACTGGAAAATCTGGTTTTTTTTTAGTCTCTTAGGCTGTTTAGTGGTGGGGTGTGATGCTGTGTGGTGACAGCATCATGTGTTCAGTCACATTCCATGTTGTTCCCTGGATCTGGAAGTGGAGAGGTCAGGGAACTGGAACCAGTCATGTGAGAGCATGGATTTGGAGTGGATGCTGTAAACTGAGGCCTGTTGGCATCCTGGAGGATCAGAAATTGGTAAAACCCAGAGCACACTTTTCCTTGGTCTTCTCCTGTGGGTGGCATGGACAGTGGGATTGAGGCACCTCAGCAAGTCTGCTGTGACCCCGAGATGTGTGGTGTGGTCACTGAGATGTGTGGTGTGGGAGGGGATGGAGCATCCAGGGGGAGCTGGACAGGCTGGAGAGGTGGGAATGTGGGAAACTCATGACGTTCAACAAGGCCAAGTGCAAAGTGCTGCTCCTGGGTGGGGACAATCCCAGCACAAACACAGACTGGGAGAATGGATGGAGAGCAGCCCTGGGAGAAGGACTTGGGGGTGTTGGTGGGGGAGAGGCTGGAGATGCCCCAGCCCAGA